AGTGAGAACCTAGCCTACATGATAGTGGGGGTATTCTTTCTAAACCTCCCTCCAACGCGCACATACACTCTATCTTCAGTTGAACAACTTGCTCCCTGCCCAAATCTCCATTACATACACAACTGGGACACCAGCCGCAGCCTGTATGCTTATGTGTGTGTGTGTCAGCAAGAGTCTCTGCGGGAGACGGATGAGCCTGTGGTGCAGGCACCAGCCAGGCGGGCCGACAGAGGTGAGAGCGCTGGCACACACACAGATACACACAAGACTGGCCACTTAATTCTGTCCACCCTGTACAATGACTGTACCACTTTTCTTCAGTTCAGTCACAGCCAAAGGCTGGAATAGAGTCTGTAGATTGGAATACAGGCTGAAGCACCAGTCACCTCACCCCCTCCCTATACTGCCAGCAGGAGGGAGAGCTTTACTCACAAATGCTGTCCTGTCCTGGCAATGATCTTGCGCTTAAGAAGGATGAAAAGGGCTCCTCTTATTTCTCTAAAAGCCTCTCATTGTCCATACGTCAGCAGAGAATTGCAACATTATTGAATTCTAGCCTTCCTTTTTCAGACCTCATACCGTATTGGTTAAAAAGTTCTAGACTTTTTGGCACAAAAATGCGCCTCATCTTCTAATGCACCAATAACCTTCTGCCTGCCAATAGGCAGCCTTTGCTGCTCACATTTAGACTCTGCACTAGGATTTTTCTAGGTCAGGTCCCTTAGACAGACCCACTCTCTTTCTCTTCTCTCTCTCCTTCATTCTCTCTCTCCCACCCTTTTTCTCTTTCTCGACCATAAATAATTCCTTTGACTTGCTATAAAAAGGCTGCAACAAGGCAATAAGCAAATTAATTTATTTCCATTTTGCTAGTCAGATAATTACCACAAGCGTGTCTTTTTTTCCGTGTTTATTTGATAAGAATCTAACTTCTTCATGTTTCCAAACAAGATGGCTTCAACCAGGTCATGGATGTGATGCGTCTGTGATGTAATACTGTACATGTCCAGAGAGCTGCAGGTGAAGTCGTTCTGAGCATTCCAGTTGTGGATCTCTTGTGAGGTTCTTTGTTGACCATACTTGACAGGCTGTAGCATGGTGACTTTTTGAAGGAAGGCAGATGGCTCAATGACCTGAAAAGGCTCTTTGTCATTGCTGCGTCTTTGACAGATAGACCTGCATAGTGTATTAGACTCAGACATTGACTGGCTTTGGCAATGTTTTTGGCATCCTCTCCTGCATCTGAGAGCCAACGACCTTCAATAACAGAAGTCTGTCCAATTCATTAATCCACCCTCAGTGCTGTTCTTATAAATTTAAAGGTTTTTCAGCGGTCTTCAGAAGGCTGAAAGCAGTTACATACGACAACTAGCCTAGTTCTACTGTACCTAAGGTGCTTTGTACAGACCTTTTAAAAGTGTTCAGCAATTAAAGCTTCTCTTCCATATTTTTCGTATGGCGCCTATGGAAGCCTTCCTCCAGTGGATATCCTATTATTTTCACTGTATGTTCACTTCATATAGGCTTTCCATTGGTTGAGTTGAGACGTGCCACACAGTGTAGTAGATGTGCAACTGTTTATAACATTTCTTTCTAAATTTTGGAGAAAATATTACTGAAGAAAATCTGCCTCATATTTCAGTCATTATGTGTCAGTAGACACCATTATCTGAAGTGCTATTGTGTCAGACTTGAGATTAATAAGATTCAGTCATGGTGAAATGAGCATCCTACAAAAAACAAACTGTCAAATATTAACTCTGGTAATCATTATAGTTGTCATGTGTATTGTCCTTCAAAAACCTGTGAAAATTATCAGAATAAAGGCTATCATGGCAAAGCAAAGTATCCATGCCCATCCCCTCTGTTATGAGTCTATTGCAGTTTTTCGATTATTAGAGAAACTCTGAGTTTGTTAAACATTATTGTAGAAAACTAAAGTACTTTTTAGGCTGGATGGAGTGCATTTGCAATGCCCCCTGGTCTTATGTAGTACACCCTGGATATATGGATTACCCTACAGTGATTGAACACAATGGGAATTACAGGCAGCCCAGTTTGTATTAGTCTCTGCTTTAAACGCATCGCATTAACTCCAGCAGATAGGATGGCGTCAGTGGGGTTGGGGGGGCGGGTCAGCATGTTACTGCCACTGACCTGACCTTAAGACCCCACTCCTGTGTTTTCAACCTCGTGTATATTCTGGCCTGGTCCGGATTTGACTTCCAGCCCATTAGCACCAGGCGGGGGAGAGCTTAACACCTGCTATCTGTCTCACTCATTTCAGCAAGGAGCTTTTGCTCAAAGCCGGCCATGCGGAGCACGGATTTTGGGGGTAGTAATCCCAGCTCCTGTAATGTTGGGGCAGACCAGGATGGAGTAGCCCAGGCTTGGGAGAAATCAAAGGTGGATTTGTGTTGCTGTAACATAGCAGGGCTGCAGAGGCATGTTTGGGGGAAGGTGTGCCTCAAAGTGAACTGGATTATTCATCACAAACTTGATTATTCAACTCAAATGACTATGTATCATGTGGCTCAGCCAGCACATTGTCTAAGATTAAGGATTTTTAGGAGGTTGTATCAGTGTGAAAATTAACAGAATAAAGGCTATCATGACTCAAGCAAAGTATGCAAGTCAATCCCCTTTATGATAAATCTATTTTTATGTTTCAGTTTTAAGGTAATTAGATAAATCTGAGTTTGTTAAAGATTGTTATAGAAAACTGAAGTACTCTATGTGCTGGATGGAGTGTACGTGCAATGCCCCCTGGTTTTATGTTGTACACCCTCATTATATGGATTACCTTACAATGAGTCAACACATTGTATAAGATTAAGGATTTTTAATGATTAGTCACCAGTTTCACTCATATCAAACTTTTTTGTGGAATTGTTTAAGCACCCATTCAAATCCACAATCCTTTTCCTTGACACATGCACAGACAATGACCATGGAATTGGCTGACTAATCTGATAAGCAGATGTCTAGTGTCTAAAGGAGTTAAACCTGCACTGAACTTTTAGTTAGGATTTTACTGTGAACACAATATACACATTAGTCATAAAACTGAATTTAGTACCGGTGTTTATTCACATGTTTAGATGCTCAGCTGTATCCATGTTGGATTTATTAAGGATTTAGTGATTTTGTATTATACAAAATATGATGTTTTTACAGATGGCTTTCGCCTGGTCATTAAACCCTATAGAGAATATTTAATCTCACACTGAATACATACTTGTTTGGTAATGTTTTTCAACTGTTTAAAGCTATCAATATTGAGTGGAACAATACTTTCTTTTCTGTAAAAGACAATTTGCAAGTTTACCCATGAGACTTCACCATTTAAAGAAACTAAACGGAAAAGATATCCTATACTAAATTACTTTTTTTTAATTATCTTTTTACCATTTTGGCATTTTTTGCACAGGAGTGTATATTAAATTACACTAAGATGATACATTTCATATAAACGTCATACTGTGCAACCTGAGATCAATTAGTGAAGTGCATTTAGTGAATGCTGTAGCAGTGTTGTGCTTGCAGTGCTAAGTGCTATGCTTACTGGTCCTCCAGCCCCCTGCTGGTGAGAAATGCCTTTGTTCTTACATTATCCGTTAGCTCTGATTAATTATATCATAGATTTAAAAATGATTCAGGATGTTAATATAAGTCTGCTGCTAGCACTGATGACTGTGCTAATAAAAGTCAGTATATTACTTGCTAATAGAGGATAAGCGTGAGTGGGACCATGTATTTTGTTATTAAAATGGCCAGGCGTCCGGAGTGACTGTGATACTCCGAAAGGAGTCTGTTCTTCATCCAGTATTTATGTGCAGTGCTGGAGCTTCCGGACTGCCTCCCCCCTCCCCCCATCCCCTGAGTCAGCGATACAGTACCAGGTACAGACAAATGTGATTATGGAACGCGAAAGGGGGAACTGCATGCATAGTAAGTGTCAGCCAAGGAGAAAGGGACGTAAATGAGAGCAAAATCTATTTACCCTTTACAAATCAAGTTTATGGTATCAATCCTCATCTGGGATAATCAGATGTTTTCATTCATGTTTTATCCTTCTCTTGCATGGTGGCCAATAAAGGTGGTATTCTGTTAGCTGGCTGAGCCCATTTAAAACAATAGCATAAGTCCCATGAGGAGTATCACATGTCACCATCACTGGTGTAGCTCTTCCCCCTCATAAAAAACACCCCTTTTGTATTAGCATAATCAATGGTCTAGGCAGAGGAGGTGGACAAGTGAGTGAGTGAGTGAATGAAAAAGTGAGAGAGAGAGAGAGAGAAAAAGGAAGAGTGAGAGAGAGAGAGAGAGGCTGGGACCGTCTGCCTTGCTCGCCTTTGATTCGTTGCCATCCTGCCTAATTGGATCAAGTGCAGACATGCCTAGCTCCATGCATTGTGTTCAGAGGGCAGAGCCAGAGCAGCCAGAGAGAGGAGTGTGCAAAGGGGTTAGAGAGACAAAAACAGAGTGAAATAATGCTTGTGTGTGCATGAAAAAGAAAAGAAAAAGAGAGGGGGGAAGAAAAAGATTATAAGAGGGAGAAAGCAGCTACGCATGTGTACGGGAGAGGGAGAGAGAGAGAGAGAAGAGGAGGGGTAAGAGTGAGGGAGGGGGTGTGTGTAATCCTCAGTTGCCCATCCTTCCGTGTTGTGTTGCGAGGCGTTAGCGATCAGCTCCTGCTCTTGTTCGCCGGCTCTCAGGAGTGGACAGGCACCTGCTGCTCCAGGATGATTCAGCCACTCTCAACCGCTGGAGCATGACAGCATGGCTCTCCCGTTGGCCGAGCCCCAGCCCCTGCTGCAATTCCAGCCTCCTCCTCCCCCTGCCCTTCCCTCAGGTACACACTGCCCTGCCGCTGGAGTTCTCTGAGCCACGCCGCAACGGAGTCTCGTGAGGGAGCGATCCGCCTCTGGGCCGCCCCACTCTGCTTCTGCCTCTTGAGGCCGTTATTTATAGACTTTTATGTTGTCGCGTGTTTTTCCCCTCACTCTACTAAGAGGGAGGATGCCTTGAAAAAGAAGTCCTTTTTGGCACGGAAGTCTGAGCTGCTTCCCAGATGTTAACGAGGTTACTCTGCCAGTACCGAAGACCATCTCTGCTCTCTTGCTCCCTTCCCCCCCCAGTGATCTGATAATGGACAACGCACTTTACAAGCCACAGTGCGTGATGCTGAGAAAACTGGTGCGTCTTCAGCCCGTGTAATACTCCGAGCTAGAAGCCAGGCATCCAGGGACACACTCCTGTACAAACCAAGAAGGAGAGCAACAGGAAAAGGACGGAAACAAGAGACAAATAAAGGGGGGATGGAGTCGGCAGGAGTGGAGGATTCTTCAGTCGGATTCTGCAAGACTCCTGGATCCACATCTCCCTTGGGCCAGTCTTCTGAAGGTCCTCCTGAAGCTGGCCCTGAGGAGTCACCTGAAGAAGAGACACCTGAAGAAGAGGAGGAGGTGGTCGGGGAGAGTGAGGAAGAGCGCGGACCTCTGCGATACCTGGGCTTGGCTGCCGCTTCCTGTTGCGTGTGTGTTGAGCTGGAGCAGGTACGCAACTGTGTACGCTCTGAAAAGATTTGCATCTTACCAATTTTAGCTTGCTTGCTGAGTTTAGCGCTCTGTACTGCTGGTCTCAAGTGGGTCTTTGTGGACAAAATCTTTGAGTACGAGCCACCTACCCACCTGGATCCCAAGCGTATAGGCCAGGACCCCATCATTATTGACGCAGACCCTACACTGGGACTACCTGTATCATTTTCACAACCCAACTCACCACCTGCCCTTCTCCCACCAACTACCACTACTACTGCTAACCCTGGACAGCCTGCGGTTTTTGTGGAGGGAGATTCCACAGCTGGCCCTTTTGCCCCCGCCTCACCCAAAGTGTCCCGCTTTACCCCCACCTCAGCAGTGACTATCTACACAAGCCCCGCCACTCAGCCCCTCCCCAGCACCACCCCTGAACCTGGCCAGAACAGCACACCTAGTCAACATCCCGATCTGGAATCTAACAACATTATCACTAAAACCTGTAAGTACACTTGGTGTTTACTTAAAGCCTCAGTGATGACTCAGTTTGGTTTGTTCACTTTTGGCTTGGAAGTGTCCTCAAGGAGAGGAGGGGACTGTGTCCTCTCACAGTTTTACTGTGTATATAATATTATTAGAGCAAATCTTTAGTATATTTGCTTTTGTATCTTTTTCGTTATGTTTAGTATCATTTGGTTTAGAAAAATATGCATCCAAATACTTGACTTCAAGTGAAAATCCCATGCCATATTCCACTCAGATATCTTCAGTAAGTAATTTAACAAACATCAACATAAGAAACTGATAATATTTCCGTGATATTCTCAAATGATTTGAATGTATTTATTTGAATGTATATTAATTTGCTTGCACTAATCCAGTGTCATATTGGGAAGCTGCACTGGAAGGAAGTTCCTCTTGCTTGCATACTCTGCCTTGCAGCAGACGTGTTGTATCTTGTCAGCAGTGTCACAAACAGCTGTGACTAATCCTCCCAAGAATGAACAACTTTACCTGAAGATTGAGTGTAATGCACACCCCCTTTGTGACTGCAACAGACAGTTACTACTCTTTAAACCTAAACAGGATTACCAGACACTGTACCACATCAATTACTTCAGTCCTCAGTAGGCAGCTATAAAACAACGCTAACATCCTTTTAGCAAGAGTGAAGAATTTCCTAGCTGACTGATTCATTTGCAGCTCTATAACAGCGCAGTTTCCTCTAATCCACATGCTGTGGCGTGAGGAGACTTCCTCCTCTGGGTGTTCTGCTCCATTTCAAGGTCAGTCTACAGAGGGCTAATTGATTCCCATCCATCGCCCAGCCACACAGAAAGACTATCCCAGTAATGCTATCTGCCTGCCTAACTGCTCTCCTCCATGACTTTGAAAGCTGAAAGAATTATAACGGCTGGAGGGCTGCCAGACTCTTTATTGCCGTGGTCCCCACCTCCGTTCCCTCCCTCACCCACCTCCACATTTCCTCATGTCTTCCACCTATGCTGCTGGTTGCAATCTGGGGTGGTGCAGAGGTTGGACTGACCTACTGCAGCCAGCTGTCCTGTCAGAGACAAAGAGGGAGGCCGAGAAAGAGTTTTAAAGACCTCACTGGCCGTTCCTGCACTCTGCTTATCACTGCTTCCTTCGGTGCATACCTCTGAAATGAAGCAGATGTACTGTTCATGTATTATTATTCACCCCCTTCCAGACTCAGTTTGAAGTTACGCTGTTTGCTTAAACCCTTCTGAAAAGAGACTAGATCATATCATTCTTGCTCACTCTCAGACAGTGTTGCATATGCAGCACATTGAGCAGTTGTGCAGGGAAGCTTAGCTGTATTCCTCAGTGAGAACAGAGATTAGGTAAGTGTGGAACAGAGAGAGCTAAGTGTTTGGACCAAGATAACGAAGACAGCCTTGACGTGCGCTTATTGCACCGCAGGATCCTACAATATAACTTATCCTGTCTAATGTAAGTAAACCTGGCAAGTTTAAAGTGTGGTTCCACAGTCTTAATCTCCATCTGATGGTCAGCTCATTCCCTGCCCAACCAGATTCAGTTTAAAAGATTTATCAGTATCTCTGTTCTGTTCACTTGCATATATTACCTGAATCAGAGGCTGCTGCAAAGCTAAAAGCCCTTCCCTTTTTGAGCAGTGTGATCAATTGTCCAGGCCCGGAATGGAAATGTGATCGGTTTCGTCGGTAATCTCAGTCTAAATCAATACATGCAGAGAGCAGGTCAGCTGCTACGGCAGGAAGCCCAGTGAAAGCGATAGTGATCCTGATCTTGCTGGACACGCACTGACTAATTATCAGAGACAAGAGAACTGAACACAAGCATCTTACAAAAGCAAATACGTCAATAAGATTTGCGTATGTGATTTCATACATATGTTCTGACACTCTGCCACATAACTCGCTAAGTATTTAAGCATTGCATATATTTGTGTATTTGAAAGCCAGTGTAAACATTTGTGGAGCTGTTTTCTGCAACATAGTTTTTTTCTATTAGAGCTAGCCTGAATGATTTGAATACTCGAGTATTAATTTATGTTGATATACAGAAGCTTTGTCTTGTTTTAAGCCACAAAAATTGTAGCCTAAAGTACATTAAATCAGCAAATGACTTTAGATAGAACAGTTATTGTTATTATATGAAAAATGTTCAAAATAAATAAATTATAGCTGGTTTAGTTGAATGCATAACAAATTCATACCAGCCATCCACGCATGAACGGCTGTTAAAGCTAAAAGAACAAAGATGCCAAAGAATCACATTTGTGGGATCAATCACATTAGTTGGTATACCATGGAGACATGACAAGTTTGAAGAATCATCTCATATATGTATGTATGTATAGTGTGCCTTATCCAAATCCCGGCATGCGTCCAATCCACATGTCCTCAGACTCAGCTCCATCATCACTTTAGGCAGGAATGTCGGCTCTGTTTTCTTCCTTTCCTTTCCAATTAAACGGTCTTAAGCAGGTTTAAATGTTAACAGCAAAAACAGCAGAATGGCTTATTTTGACTAAATCACAGTCACAAGTTTTTACCACTGAATCTGAGCAGAGTAGCCTCCACACAGCATTAGTACACCACAGGAGCTGCTCTGCAATTACCACACAAATCAAATCACATTTAAGTACATTAATAATTTAAATATAGTTGAGAGTGCTGTTGAAAGTGTCAGATTTTACTGGACTTCTGCTCTTTACTCATATGTGAAAATCATAAATTTGTGTTTCGATGAACATAAGATGTGCGTCAAGTGCAGCTGATGTGGGCTGAAACATACACTAAACTGGAAGCATATTTGTTTCGTCAGAGGTGCAACTAAAAACACTTAAAATATTATTATAATAAAGGAGAGAATGAGTATGTGAGTACTTCAAATATTCAAATTCTGAAAATGTTGTTTAAGCCAGCTTAATTTCTGAAAAAAAAATCTCATTCGCATTCTCATTCACCTCCATGCCTGTTCTTCCATATTCACTTAAACTGCAGTAATAAAAAGTGGCTGCTTGCCTGTTTCATTTGTTCTTGTATTTCCCATGGCAGTTGGTCTAAACTATTTTATAACAAAATAAGCTGCATTACTGATATTTTAGGACCCTTAGTCTATTTAAAATTACCTTGTCTCAGCAAGTTTGCTTCAGAGTGAAGTCACCATGTAGAGTAGCCTAAAACCTGGTTTTGCCTAATAAGACACACACACACACACACACGTTTTCAACTAATGGTATACCTGCATGCTACCTGTCTTCAGGCAACACTGTCAACACAGCCCCATTAGTCAGAGAAACATTTATTTCTGCCTGGCTGACTGAACGTTTATCTCATATGGAGCAGATTGAAGTCCACTTCCTCCAGGGACTGCCACACGCCGCTCTGTAGAAGGCTAACTCACAGTGATTTGATCTGAGCGACAGAGAAAATTTTTTAGTGGTTAAAGCTTTTTTAAAGCATCAGGGTCTTTGTTGAATGGGATTGCTTCTTGCTCATCATAGGAAAGAGTAACTGCAGTTGGAGGCCATAATTTGCAGCTGGTTAAGTGTGAGATTACAGTTATGTCATAAGTATGGCTTCAGTTCTCTGTGGTTCAGCGGCCTCTTTTGAGCAAAAAATTTCAGACAGTGATGTGATGACAGTACTTAGGGTGGATACTGTAGGCTTTATGTGAGCTTAAAGTTAAGGCTAAGAAGAGTTAAGGACATTTTTAGCTAGAGATGGCAAAATACCACTTTTTCTTTTCCGATACCGATACAGATACAGAAAATATTAAGTATCGGTATCAGCCATAAGTGGTGGTGGGAGACAATGAATCATTCAGAACAGGCTTTTTCCTTTTACCAACAGCATTGTACAATGGTAAATGTAATGGTAGGAGTCTTGCCTAGTGACTCTTACTGGTATATTTTAGTAGTGTTTCTGATTCCTGTCTCAACAGAGGTTCAGGTTACCTTCTGTAATGTGCAGTTTAGCAGTTAGCCTTGTCTCCCAGTTGCTGAAAAAGAAGGATGCCCTTGTCTGTTACCTGGTTTTGGTATTTCATTTGTCGTGAGGTTGATTTTGATACTGTTTCTGATTCCTGTCTAAACGGGATAAAACCCCATCCACTGTGTGTGGAGCAAGTGTATTATCTACTGCGCTGACCACTTGACCTTCTTTGCATTATTGTTCTTCAGGCAATTTTCGGGTATCTCAGGCTAGATTTTTACAAAATCAAATCAGATTCCTCTGATCATATGCAGGTATTGATATTGATACTGGGTTGATGCCATCTCTACTTTTAGCATATGGACCTAGTTATGGCTGACTTTAAAAAAAAAAACAGACTGTAGTAAGTGAAAGAGTTTATCCATCTAGCAGAAAAAGGTAAAAAATAAACTGCTTCGCAGGGAAAAAGCTGTCATGTGCTTTAGCTCAGCTAACTGCAGTTATCTCACTGTCATTTTTCATTCTGCTGCTTTTACAGCACGAAACTTGCAAGCTCTTTGGGGAGCTGGGTTTTGTGTTGAGTACTTGTAGATGGAGCTGTTACTGCCCTCATAGCTTTATTGATCTTCTTTCTCCTGACTCTTCCTTCTCCGTTTTCCCTCGAACATAGGATTTATGAACAATACTTCCTTTGATGTGATTCCGCTGAGCTTTGCTCATAGATAGTTCCCCAGTGAATGCTGCTGGGTTATTGATTAGTTTTAGTTTATTTGTTCAAAGTAAAAATTTCTAATACCTGTTAGACTGGAAGATCCAGAAACCTTACAGTGAATCACCTTTTGTCATTAAAATTGCATTGTTTATCGAAATATATTCATCTTGACCTCTTGTTTTGTGGGAACGGCTGACTGCCTTTGGCAAATCATGTTGAAATATTTATGACAGCTTTAAAAAATGCCTGTACAGTCCATAATGGTAATCCTGTAGGTCACTATCTCACAGCATGGATAGTTATTTAACTGTAAGAGCCTATACACTTACTTAATAATGTATACAC